AACAAATATACGCGATTTAAATCCGGAAAAATAGTTCCAATTCCTATATAAAAAAATAATAATTAAAATAATAAGCAAATAAAAAAGTCCATATAAACGATTCGCGGAGACAAATGATAGGGTGTACACATTGACTTACAAATAAATGGACGACGGGTCTAATACAAAAACCACGAAAAAAATGTCCCAAGTCAACCTATTCGAAATTTAAATTGTTATGTCATCGCAGTATCGCGCTGTCCGTAGAACAAATGAAGACTAAAGCGGAGTGTCGCGCTCTGTATACGATTTTAGCGCCTTACAAGTGCGGACACTTTTTAGCGCGGACCCGACGTCCATATAATTGTAAGTCAATGGGTGTACACAAAAGTATAGTGAATGGACATGTTTATTGTGTGACTTTAGCCGCCATACTAGCCAGATCAGCGAAGCTACGTACCAATGTAGCTGGTTTACCATCCCGCTTCCTGATAAAAATAGTACCGTTACTGCAGAAACATTGCGCGAACCCGTTTTCTTTACATTTAATTCGTGCATCACGGAACAGCGTCCTATTTTCTTTTGTGAGCCGCTCGTTGAAAAAGATCCATAATGAGGGCCCGGGAACATCAATATCCACAATGGTGACGTTGCGGCGTGACTTAGCAGCTTTCAGGAGTTCATCGCGCCTAGCTCGGCGTACCAGTCTCACAACAACTGGCCGGGGCAGGCCCGTATTTGCTTCGAGTGTTTCCGCAGGAGGTCGACGCGGTCCTACTCTGGTCATTAAATCTAGTCTTGAAGTCATTACTTACGGAATATTACTTATATGTATATCAAAGCCAGTATTTGTTGACCCAGATTCATTCTTAGGTGTTTACACTTCAGATTACTGCACAGCGAAAGGTGTTCAACGTTATATCAAATCATTATCCTTACCCTTCAAAACCGAAACACAGTAATGCTTAGATTACTGCTTGGCGGCAGGAAATAGATAAGGTGTCAGTACTTCTCTAGACGACCTCTTTCTCGAGGAGCTCCACTGCTTTAATAGCTCTTACAATATACTAACGACGGTTTTAATCAGTGGCGGAGTATCTTGGCCGCCCTAGGCAGACCCATGCCATGTAGTCAGTAACAGCCGCCCCTTTCTCAGCACTCATCATATACTGTAGACATATCTATATTTTATACATAAAATATACGAAAGTGATTTAGGAAGATTATTGTTATGCGATGCGGTGCAGTGCAGCCCTTTGATAATGTGCGTGAGCCTTTAGAATATTTAGATACTTTTGAGTTATTTCTTGTCATCATCAGTGATTTTATTGTCACGATTGGCCGCCCCTAAAATTTTTTTCTAACATTTTCTCCTTGTTTTTTTTGTTTTCCCAAAAATGTTGTTAATTAGTTTCATTTTAAGGACTAATTATCTAGAAGTCTGGTATGTATCATAATATCATTGACTTACAATTATATGGACGCTAAAAAGTGTCCGAACTTATAGGGCGTTAAAATCGTATACAGAGCGTCATTCGCGCTTTAGTCTTCGTTTGTTCGACTGACAGCGAAGCAAGCAAAATTAGACAGTACTGGGATGACATTACAATTTAAATTCAACGTTTTAGCTTTTTCATATTCCTTTACATGTCACTACGTTTAAATAGGTTGACTTGGGACATTTTTTTCGTGGTTTTTGTATTAGACCCGTCGTCCATTTATTTGTAAGTCAATGCATAATATGTTTAGATATGCTTTATACTGACAAGAAATAGATGTAACATTTAAAACTCGTCAGTATTTTCATACTACGGTAACTAGACTAGCTACAGTAATTTATACTACAGGACTTAGAACACGGACCATTTTCTTAAAAATTTCAAAAACTGGAAGTGATGGGAAATACTCGAATGTCGTAATACATAAAGGTCTCTTAGCTCTTTTACTTCAATAAGCGACAACACATTTCCTTGAAAAATGTAATTTAATAGAGAAATAGGAATTGGAAGATTTTGAAAACAAATTTACGGTAATTAGATACTTATGGAAATTGCAAGCGAATACATCGACACTGTTACATTGTGCCGTTGTGAGTGCCGAGACACGGCTGATAGCTCGCGATTCAGACAATAGTGACTTTCAAATATTTCGTGGTTTAGGGATGCGCACTTTGAAATGATATGGCGATGATAATTATACCTTCGGCCCAGACACTCGGATATTTGATGGTAGATTTTTATGTAATTACACAAGCAGTAATTCGCCACCCAGGATCTGAAATGGTGCTGGCCTAACCATCCCGGACTAAAATGAGAAGTAATTGGAGAACAAGGGTTTGAAAAATAATATAAATATGGTAATTAAGTAGCAGACCTAAAGCCTTAAAAATACTTTTAGATAAAAGTACAAACTCGATTTAAAAATATTTGTGGTTCTGTTTAATGTTTTACAGAGACAGAAAAAACATGCAAAAATTTGCTATTCTGAGAATGGACGTTGTAGAATCACTGCTGTGGCGCCACTACCAAATTGTCTTACAATATCGCACTTCCGATGAACAGTGACTTATCTTACATTCGTAAAATTTACAGAAAATGAATTCACTTTTTGTATTTATAGCTACTGAGCACATTTGAAAAGCTCTTAAATGTTAAATATTATTTCAATACGCATTACATAAGAGGGCGTACCCTCTTTAGAAAAATGAAGGAATACATAATGCGTCTCTGTTTTTCCGTATAAATTGTGTTCTAAAAATGGTTTGAGACCACAATTTCTTGCAGTTAATTCTGTGTTTTACCGGAGTTGCGATATCTAGTCTGCAAAAGAGGCGCGCGTGTGGCGCGACTGTGTCGCTGCAGCTGCGATTCTACATATTGTATAAAAATTATTTCTCTAACACGCATTTTCCACTAAGCGGCTAGTCGGGGGCTCTAAAGTAAAACAAGCTCTCGATGAACTAGGCACTACATCTGCGGTCGTTCGCTTGCGGCGAGCCGCTTAGCAGAAAATGGCATTAAGCGTATTATTCGAAGGCGCTCTTAATCTTAATCAAAGCTTGAATATTTCATTAAGTAATTTTATTTTGAATGATAATATTTATCATATCCGGAAGTCTATAGTTGATCATTGCTAACATATACAAAAATGAACAGATGGATGACCAATGTATGTACATACCATTAGGAGATTGGCGGATGATAGCATATTGTTGCCATTGATGTTTTAAAAAAATAGAGAAACAGCTAACAGCAACATTACAACGAATATAAACTACTACTACATTCTACATTACTCATTACCGGAAAGTGCGCAAACCCGGATTCATCCTCTAGTTCACCACTATACGGAACTTGACACAGTGTGACGGTGTGACCTCCTTACACCGTCATCTCACCTTTTTCTATCGCCTCCGCTTGTATCCTATCACTTTTTTATTTTACATATATTTAAATTTTAAATTTGAATTGTTCCATCTTCCTTCACTTTCTCACTTTGTTTTCGTATCACGGTCACTCCCAGCTCGACCGCCACAGCAGTCGGAGCTGTTTCAAATTCCATCGCGAATAATCGCTAATTCTGGTTCTTTACTACGTTTATAATCATTTAATAAGCTAAATCATGTGTAATAATTTATAACGGTCTACAGCCTTCGTGTACCTATATCTGTAATTCAGTCACTCGGCCCATTTAGGGCCCTTTCTTTTAACTTTACTTCTTTAATAAATTTTGTGGACCGGAAGTTTCCCGTTTCATTGCCGTGAACCTGTTTACGGCTAGTTAGGGTTACAACCCTTTCAACAGGAGATAATAAAAGTCGGTTCGCTACTCAAAGTTGAGATTAAAACGTCTTGAATTGGAGAATAGCAAAATCAACCATTAAAATAAATGCTCTTTATAATAAAATTTAGGCGCTATTTATAAAAATGAATCTTCATGCTTGAACTGCCACCCTTAGAGGTGGATAATTTACTTCAAAATTAAATGGGAACACTATGGAGGTACCCTCTTTACAACAAAAAAGGACTCATGAAAATCGATTCACAAATACCGGAGTTATCGCGTAACAGACATACAAAAAAAAACATACAGTCGAATTGAGAACCTCCTCCTTTTTTTTAAGTCGGATAAAAATATTTATGAAATAAATAAAACCAGGAATAAAAATACAATAACGATATATTTACTTTAAAAAATACGAATAAATCATGTTTTCAATTACCGGAGAAAAGTTTTTAATATTTTTAATAACATTTTTAGTGCAAAGAACAAAAAACAATAAATTTTATTTTATTTTATTAAATTCATAGAGCCTTTAGCTCTCCGTGAAATTTTGCGCAGCTGTTTAATTGCAGACATAAATAAGCAGCAACGAGCATATTTCACATCATACTTCATTACCTTAGCAATTCAAAATGGTGCAAGCACAGAAGATAATATGAAGATGAATATATTGTCACTTCATCACAAGGAGTCTAATAAGAAATAGATTTATAAACTTCCAAGTGAAACCGTAAGACTTTCTACAATGAATCAGAATAAACATTTGATTCTTTACTGAATTGGGATCCACGGCTACAAACGCAAGAATTTTCATGGTCTTAAATTCTCTCGGTCTTGAAAGTTCTCGGTTCAGAATGTTCTGTGATGTCCAATTCAGTGACCAGTGTTGCGAATTTTTTAAATTACCTTTAACCACGACGTGGTCAACCGGCCTCCTTGTGCTCAGTAAGTAACAACGTCCCTCATGATTTGTCGGTTGACAAGGCCATCGTAGCGAGATTCGATTGACTATGAGACTCGCCTTTGATAGCCCAGTATCATTTATCCCGTGCCTTGAATCCAGGTATACCAATGCTGGGTATGCATTACACAATTTTTTACAATGTTGGATATTACTTTACATTTTTTTTATTGTTTTCGATCAAACGCTAGTTTATCATATATTCTCCGATTTATTCAACGCTTATCCATTAAAGATCAGGACTAAACAACACACCTGCATGAAAATAAAACTAAAACTAAGTAACCACAAAAGGTTTGAAATTGCCAAGAAATGGAGGTAACTGTGGCGGCAGATAATTCCAATCATATTTACTATTCTCTACAGATTCATATGATGTCAAATTAGGGAACTCTTCTACTGAGTCATCAAAGACTTCTGACAAAGACGTACTATTATCAGTTTCCTTACAAGAGCATGATGCCACTAATAATTCATTTGACAAAGTTTTATTCGTGTTACAAAGAGATTCATGTACATAATAACATTGCTGAATATTTTTCTTTTCATTGTAAGAGGGATTTAAACATTCACAAGGGTTTTCTGTAACATTAGTTCTGTTGAATCTATTTTTCATGCAGCAAGAAGCGTAACATTTGGAAGGGCATGGTAATATTTTTTTTGTCTTATAGAAATAGCCTCTTTTTGTATCTTGCGACCTTCTACGTTTATCGACACACTCTAATAAGTCTCTACAAATACAAAGAGGGTCACATAAGCAAGCATCAAGATCAGTACTACAATTAGTGTCTACTCCTTTATCCTCTGGATGCTTAACCTTTTTAATAATATGATGAGATCCTAGTTCCGTCATTCCAGATGGCGTGGCACTTAAAACTTTTAAAACGTTTTCATCCATTGTGACATAAACATTTCCAGATGGAGTAATTCTCAAAGACCCGTAAAGGTCGGTACTTTGTCCCTCTGGGTCTAAAAAGATCATAATATCTCCAGACCCCATTCTTCTGACAGGGACGTGACCTTTATTATTTAAGTTCAAGTAGTTCCTCAAATCGGTCAGAAATGCCATTTTTGAATTTTTATCTAAAACAACAGCGTACTGCCCAGATGGAGTTTTTTGTATTTTAATCGGACGGTCGAAATGCGAGCTTTTGTCGCTGTCTAAAAACTGAGACTCGCTGCTTTGTTTTCTGAACGAGCTCTCAGTTATGTTCCTAGATTGACTACAACCCGGTGAAGACAATGTGTGTATATGTCGTAGTAATTCCTCGAAGGCTTTTGAAGATTTATTTGAGTTAACTTTAATCAAATTTTGTGATAAAGTATTATATTTCTCGTCATTTACTAGAATTCTCAAATGTCCCGAAGACGTTTTAACCAAAAGAGCATTTTGTTTATTATGACACGTATTTTCAGTACATTGCTTATCAAAATTAATTACTATATCATCAGAAGCTGTCTTTTGTAACTCTATATGACATTGATTGTGATCACTCATAGAATTCATTATGTGATCATGAAACTGTTTCTCGAATTCTTTGTCCAAAACAAGGAGATAATTTCCCGATGTTGTCATCTTGAGAAAAGCTGGAATTGCAATAATACGCGACGATGCACTTTTAACACTTACTTTGTATAGTTTATCGTTGGCTAATTCTTGGAGAGGTGGTTTAAGAAGAATTAATGACTTTAATATAGGTTCAGTAATAACAATTAACATTTGTCCAGATTCAGTACGCTTTAATATTGTATTTGGCTCTTGTTCAGGCTTTTCACAGCCAACAAATAACATATATGCCCCAGATGAGGACTTTTTCAACAACACCGGACATTCTTTTGAGCTATCTGCGATCACTCCAACACAGTTCATATCTTTGATATCCATGACAATATTTCCTGACAAAGTTCTCCTTAAATTAGCTTCTACACAAGCTTTTGCTCCATTTACACCTTGAACTTTTAATTTAATTTCTCCTCTATTATTATCATAAAATATTTCCATTTCTTTTTTGTCTAATTCTATGGAATTTCTTTCTTTATCGGTTAATCTACATTTGTGTATTTTTGCTTCTTTCGGTATTTTATTTAAAATTACGTCTTCAACATAGTACCTGATATCCTCTCGCTCCATTTTTGCTGTTTTCCTTGCTGCTTGTCTTTTGTTTGATATACTGCTCGCTGCTTCATCACAAACTTTTCTACCATCCGTAGGGGTTCCTTTTAGTTTGCATTCACTTCTGACTACTTTTAAGATTAATGATTCTACATCTATGGCTTGTTCACATACAGTTTCGCAAGATTCACATGGCCGTATATATGTTGACAAATTTTTAAACAGCACGAATTGTATTTCACCAGTTGGTGATTTGGTTACGTGTACTTTTAGATTGGAAACATTCTCCTGGGGTTTGAAGTCGACAATTAGTTGCCTCGAATTCAGTTCTCTCAAGTAAACATGCGTGTTAGGATTTTCTATTAATTTTTTTTCGAGTTTGTCAAGGAAAGTATTTTCGATTTCCATAGCAACGCTGCCAGAAGGTGTATCGATTATATTCGCATTATTTCTTTGAGGTTCGCTGATATCTGGTACCTTCTCCATAACTACCTTGTTCGTTTCCACACTCTTGTACTCTGGTGCCCAAATTTCATCTTTTGCCTCAACATAACTTGTATGTATGTTTTTTATGACTTTATCAGCTTCCACGCTTCTATGTGACATGGTATTATCTGTCGCTTGAATATTTGTTGGCGGTGCATCGGTTAAGCTCAAATTTTCTTTAGATTTATTAATATCTGGCGGTTTCTTCATAATTTTGGAAGTTTCTGCACTTTTATATTCTGATGTCAAAGTTTCGGTCACGGGTTGAAAAACAATGCCTGTAGGTGCATCGGTTTTAATATTTGAAAGTTCTCCTGGCACTTGTTTCATGGTCGTTTTTACACTCTTATAATCTAATCTCACGATTTCATCTACTTTTTCAACATTCTCCATTTCATTTTCCTTGAATGTGACTTTATTATCTACACTGGATGTTTCGTTTTCTTTGCCATGTGGAGTATCTTGCGACACTGATGCTTTTTGATGCCCTTCATGTATTTTATAGGATTTTCTTACCGACACTTTGTAAGGTATGCCCTCGCATGAACAGCACTTCCTTGGAATTGCACATTTACACCCATCGTCTATTTTCAGTTGTTTTGCATCTGTAAATTTAATTGAAAATAATATAATTAAGATAATTACTAACAAATATTTTACTTTCAACATTATTTAAAACTCACAATTTACGTGGGAGTACAAAACAACTGAAAAAAGGTAGCATTTAAATAGTATAATATTTCACTTTGTATTCTACACAAACCCATAATGAGACGCTCATAACTAGATATTTGACACGAGTAAAGGAATAATTGTAACCATCAAAGTGTTATTAACTTATACCAATATTACCTTCCGAAAATTTTGTAACATATAGGTAATAAATTAACGTGTTGTGCGTTGAGAAAATATTGTCGTAAATTATTTCGCTGGTGTCTTATTTTATTATGGAATTCATGAATGTTTCATGTTTAAATTCTTTGTGTCATGGAAAGCTTTATTTTTAGCTAACGTTCAATAACATTTGCTATTTAATATTTTTTGAAGAATTCTCTTTTTTTTTCGTTTACTTGAAAATGAGGTGCAATATGAAGTTCTTTGTTATCTTAGTCTCACGTATTTACATTTATATAATTAAGATAATAAATAGCGTTCCTATTATGACTTCTATTATATTATATTTTGCTATGTATCTTGTAACAGCAGTTTAATAGTTTGCTTTATAAAGTTCTTCTATGCAGTGATGAGTATTGGGTAAATAATGTGCTCTATATAATTCTTTGACATATTTTTCTTTCAGTATCTCAGTTTTTGCTTTGCTTTTATATAACAAACTTTCGTTGCTTAATTCTGATGATCTTTTAGCTTTTACTTCTCTGATAGGTTCTCTGGAGCTCTGATTTTTGGGATCCCTGGATGTAAATTGTACTATTGTAACAGGCGATATTCTAATTTCTGTATCTTTAATATTACAATTCCTATACCTATTGATTTTCATCTGTGACTTAATCTTGTCCAAAAACGGATTAGCTGCCGTAAATTCAGTACTCGAGAAGTTGACCTCACTGTGAGAGGAAAGTTTATTGGTTACCAAAAAATCTTTCATCTCATTTTCCACAATGTCGATTACAGATTCTTTATCATGACCAGAACGTGTTTTTAAATTAACGCACGAGGACTTGCACGTAAGTTTTTCCATTTCTGTATCTGTTTCTCTTTCCCGTGTCATATTTAAACTTTTATGACCTTCAAATGAATTAATAAATGACTGATCACTATCATTTCTTTCCTCTATCATCAAAGCTTGAAACGTAGAAGTATCAATACAGAAATTGGTAAGTAAGTTATTTTTAAATGTGTTTACCTCATTTTCTTTATTTCCGGAAACACATTCTACTGGATTGTAGCCTCCGAAATAATTTTCTACATGCTCGTCTTCATTCACGCTTGTTACCTAAGGTTAAACCAAAACTCTCATTTAATTGTCTGCAAAAATCAAAATTTTAACATGGTGGTCATATTTTTAAGGAATCTAAACTAAAAATGAAACCACCATGTTGTTCAGACGAAATTTATTTAAAATATTTATATAAATATTAATTGAATGTCCTTAAAGAGCTGATTTAATAATCCTTGATTTTCTCCGTAAAGTTGTGTAACTTACTTTTTGGATTGGAGCCACATCCATATATCTTCCAATTACTTCATCAATTATATTCTGACATGGTTGTGATCTACGATCTAGAAACGAAAGCTCTACATCACAAAATGCCTTGCTATTTTACTCCCACGTAAATTATTAATTAAACAATTAATTGTATGTATTTACCTTTGTGACAGGAGCAAAAACGTATCGGCACGTCTCCGCACTTACAGGTGATCTGGAAATTTACAAACAAATAAATGTACATACATAATAAATACAGACTAACGACAATGCCTGTTTTGACATGAGAAAGCTTTTTATATTTTTATGGAATTGTTTTAAATTCTGAACTACCTCTATCCAATTCTACGCTGCAAGAATAACTCAATAACTTGGAATAAACTGGATCCTGCTCAGAGTGTAATACGTGTGTTAGGCTCCTTATTGGATCACGATGAAACTCGTTAGTATATAGATATCAGATACGATGAAGTAAAAAGTACACGAAATCTATCCAAAGTTAGTTGATTTTAGTCTCTCACCTCTTTTTCCACTTTTAAGTTACTTGCTGAGTTTCTTTTCATATCGGACGACTTAATCGGACAAGGGCTTTTCCAACCTTGTGCCACTTGTTTTTCTGCATTACCAGGTAATTTAGCAATCGACCTTCGACTTTCAAAATTTTTTTTCGGATCAAATAACTCTGGGCCAAAGACACACTGAGCAGCTCGCATGTTCTTTGAGTATGGACAAGAAGGACCTCCGCAGGGATCAGGTTTCCATTTCGATACATCTGCTGCTATTCTTTCAGGCGTATGCATGGAACAGTCTAAGCCACATACTGTATCTTTCTTGTTTGGACACTTCATCACTTCGCCCTTAAGGAAAATCAAACAAATTTTAATGTAGTTTTATTATAGGAATTCAGTTTTTAACGTAAAATTTTATCGATGCCTTAGACAAAGCTTTACTTTGATTAATTCAAAATGGGAAAATTAATAAATACTTAATTACATGCAGATGAGACCTACAGTTGCTTCCACAGTTATGCACATTGAAGGTTTATCATTGTCATCCGGTCAGATATTAATATTTTTAACTTTTTCTTGTTTACCAGACTCCAAAATACAAATGGAAAAAATACGTATGATCAAATTACTACCATCGAAACCAGAAAGCGAACATGGAAGTATAACGAAAAATCTGTTTCTGACACCTACCTCGTCTTCCTTATCAACCGGTAAAGGTGGGCAAGGACCTTTTCCACTTTTCGGTGGGGGCGCTTTCTTAATACAAACACAGTCTTTGGGACCTTTCGGACAATAACATTCCTTGGATCCTCCCCAACGCTTACATGGGCCCTGTGGAATTTGAATAATAATTCAATAATGGCTGTTTTAACAATTCTCCTTCTTTCTATTTAGCATTTCTGTCCATATTAAGAATTTGCCTCACTGACTTTAAAGACAAAGACTTTGAAGTCTATTTCTACTTAAATTTAATATTTTTATAGGGGAACTAGTTAAGCAACACAATTAATTAACTGTAGAGGAAATCGCGTATGATAATTAACTTTATACTCCTTGCAAGAGAGATTCAAATTGTGTACCTTCTTTGATTCCGTTCCTTTGTCAGAGTGAGCAACACGAGAGGCTTTTATTTGCTTCAAGCACAGCATCAGTTGGTTGTAAGTGTCAGGATCCAACTAATAAAAGCAAACAAAATATTCATATCCTTGTTAGTAACAATTAACAAATAACAAAAAAACAAAATTAGCAAATAACCACAGATGTTTTCATTTGACGATTTCTGGTATTACAGATTATATCAAGGGGCAACAAATATTCTTTAAGTTGTTTCTTTATAGTTAAAATGCTGAATCATTGACGATTTTTTTTTAAACCTTTATATTAAAACACGTAAACAGTGATATATATTGCAAATACATGGAAACGTAGTACCAAAAATAATCAGCTTAACAAAAAGCTACTCAAAGTGCTCGATATTGTTTTACTCAGTTTTCAAATGTGCTCCCAAATTTTATCTTATAGTTCTATTTTACTTGTATTGCAAACAATTTATATTCAAGTAAAAACTCCAAAACAATTATTTAACAAAAATTATGACATTCACCTCACACCTAGTCTTGACTGCACCACCAACAATAGTTAAATTTAAATTCTTCTTTATCGTAGTCAAAATAAATTCCTGCAAAACCTTTTTTGTTTCCGTATTCAATTTTCCATTGCGGCTGTGTTTTAAACTCTTCAGTACTTGGTCAGCAATCACTTTACCAGGCCGTGAATGCACTTGTCTGTCTAACACGGTGTACATATTCTCAAATATATTGTCCAATAACTTTTGTTTGACCATTTGACAAACGCATGACTCCTTAATATCAGTACCACAAGTGTCGCCCTGGACCAAACATTCTCTATGAGCAGCACATCTCGGACAATCATTGCAGTAGTACCTTTGGTCACTTGTATCAGTACACTGATTACATTTGATACACTTTACTTTGAAGATAGCTAGTTCTGCGTCCACTTTATTTAACTCTTCACCCATTAACTCTTGTTTCCTTTTACATTTATCTTTACACAAGTCACATGTTGTTTTTAGTAAATCTATTTCTTGGATCAAAGATTTTTTCTGAAATAAGAACATATAATTGGAACCACTTATAGCATATATCACTCATTTACATATATCACAAAATTCTTTGAACAAACCTCTGCAGTTAAATCTTCCTTCTCGAGTTGTTTTTGAAGCAAAGCTTTACAAATTTTCTGGAGATCTTCTCTTGCTTCCTTAATATATGCAGCACCTTCTGCATCCTTTTCTAGTTTTGCTTTCTTTTCATTTTCGTCTAATGCCTCTAAACGTTTCATTTCTGCCGTTATGGTTTCTATTTTTATCTTAAACAAGGAGAGATAAAGATTATGATTCGATTACAAATATTGTTGGTCGTTATTATTTTATATTAAATTTACATACTTTTGCATGCTTCTTCTTAGGTTCTATCGATTTCTTGATCGCTTCCGCGGCCCTTTTGTTAGCTTCAATTCTCTTTTTAAATCCGTCTATTTCAACATTTAAAGATTTGATATCGTTCGTTTTACGAGAAATTTTTTCGTTGATTTCAAGCTGCGCTTTGCCTATACTATCCAATTGCGATTCCAAGTCCTTCTTATTTTTACGCCATTTGTTAACACTTTTTTCTACGTCCTTCAACTGGAATAATTGTTGATTTTGAGTTACGTTAAGAATCATATTAATATAGTACTGTATCGACTCAAATATGTCTCATTGCATAACGCCAATGGAAATAGCTCTTATCTAAGGAGAAAGTTTATAACAAAGTGATCTATAACCCAACGAACATGTTTTTATTGTCGCTAGACAATAGCTATTTAAATTAACGCCAAAGTAAATAGCTATTATCTAAGGAGAAAGCATCGAACAAAGTGGTGTATAACCCAATGACCCTATGCGAATTGGCGGACTTCACATGTCATTGAAAAGTTTTATGAACCATTACCTGACACGCAAGTTTCATCGAGATAATATATTCACGCTAAAGCAAGTGCTAATTAATTACGCAAAGTGCAAATCATACGAAAAGACAATGGTGCCGACACAAAAACAGAATATACAGTAGAAGTGGTTAGTTAGCCCCACACGCGTGCCAACTATATGTATATAGGTCTCTTAGATTAGGGCCTATGTAGCTCAGTCCGCCATTTTGTGTGGTTGTGTTAACCTTTCGCGCAAATTCTCTAAAATCGTAAAAAAATGCCTCATTGTGCAATTTTGGACTGCAAAAATTGTACCCGTGGTGGAATTAAATATCATCGGTAAGTCTTATTTTAATAAAATTTTCGTGTTTTGTTTATAGAATAGATTTTTTGTACTGTAAGAAACGAAAATAAACATTATCTCTTATTTTGGAGAACTAAAAACATTTCTAACTTTCCACGCTAGTAGCCTTAGGGCGCGTTCCCACTATGTCGTCACGTTTTATTATCGTTGGACGACGACGGTCATGCCTAGCCTGTTCCCATATCACGACTATCTGTCGTGGACGATTTTTTATCGTTGAACGACTGTCGTGACTAGCTGTTCCCACTAGATCGTGACGACAATTTATCGTTTCACGACAGCCTCCTTGCCTATCTCAGGCTACGACCCAACGCTATTGCAAGCGAGCAGAGGGCGCGGGGTGCGAGAGAGGAAGGCAGGGAGCAGAATACGTGCGGACAGAGATAAATAAAACGTGACGACTGTAGGAGCTGCGACAATCTGTCCTCACGTTTTTATCGTGACGTTTTTTTATCGTCTGACGACTGTCGTTCTAGCTGTTCCCACTGTGACGACAGTTTGTCGTTATAACGATAAAAAATCGTGAACGACAGTTAATCGTGTCGTGCTATATGTGAACAACTTCATTTAAATATACAAGCCACGACACTGTAAACTGCACGACAATCTGTCGTCACGACATAGTGGGAACGCGCCCTTAGAGCATATAGGACTGGAGACGTCATTGATAGGCAATCCCCTCTGTCAACGTACAAGCACAAAACAACCATGGCACATTAAACACTACTTTCAATTCGATGTTTTTTTTCATTTGCATTATTGAATTCACCGCGTCAAGTGCTCCATGAAATATGTCGACTTGCAACATACAAACTTGCAAAACAATCTCTGCTACATCTAGTCTAGCAAGGATGGAATCACATTCCATTTATACGTCTATTTTTGACATTAATTACTAGTTTTCTATTTTAACACATTTTTTTCAAAATGATCACATTGATTTAATTTATCGATTACAGCGAAAATATTTGAAAAAATTCGAACATTTGACATAAGCATGCCTATGAAGTTCCCTAATTACTGACAGGCGACCAAAGAAAAAATGCAACTCTTCATGAACGCTATTTTTTCGTTATAGAGAAGCGAACGTGCTTTTTAGCTCCCATTTTTATCGATAGATTATGTAACGAAGTTTATTCAAATTGATTTATCCGCCGTATTATATATTAAATAATAATGTAATAAATTATAAATAATGAAAATAAATTGTATATGTTTTAATATAAATCATTATAAATCATGCCGTTCTGTAAGAAAAAAGAAAAATAAAAGTACACATACGAGTACATACTTACATACAATACACATAAATTACAAAAGCAATCAAAATAACTAAATAGCTAACTGTCCTTATCCTGCACAAGACATGCGCAAAAGACCGAAAAAGACCCATTACTTCAATTCCATTTCTCGAACCACAACTGACTGAAATATTTAGATTTAAAACAAAGAAACTATAGAGTTAAACTGCCTCCGTGGCCGAACGGTTACCATGCCGAACTGCCACGCAGAGGTCCCAGGTTCGATTCCCGGGCCGGGAGAAATATTTGTATGGCCTACATTTATTTCTCTCGTGAGTTTGGGTGTCATTTGTGGTTGTCTATGTGTGTGTCCATGGCACCCGCGACACAGGGTTTCCCTAGTGCGGGGCTATGTTGAGTGTGAGCGTTATTATTATTATTATATTATTATTAGTTGATTTAATGTTAATCTTATTTTTAAAATGACTTTTTATTAAATGTTACTAATAAATAACTAACAAAATATTGTTGTATTCGTTTTACTGTTTGGAGTTACCAATCAGAAGTATACATTTGCCCGAAATAATGTTTGCTCGAATTTTTGTAATCCCAAATCAAAAATTCGAAACAATGTTTGCTAGATTTTTTGTAATCCCAAATGTATTTTTTTAGATTATTTTAGGAATATTACAAAACAAACTAACTTAATCTTTTCTTTGTAATAAGCAACCAAAATCCCCTGAAAGCATAACGGTTTTGTTATAAATTGGTTTTCAAGATTATGAAACTTTGAGTTTACGTTTAGTTGGAATCTAGAAATTCGAAACTACCAAGAGAGAGAGACAGCTCTGCAGCTGTGCAGATATATCTGCACAACTCTTAATACTTGAAGTGAATTCGTATAAAATTCAACATAATACTATAAAACTAATTAATATTGACATTAAGACTTCTCCATCACTCTTGTGTTCAAGTAGTTTTCACTAGAAGCTAATTATGGTTCATTTTGTTATTTCCAGTAGTCGGGAGAATATGCTTAATTGTTGAGCCTTTAAATCGTGGCAAACAAAATTAAGCAATACTGAATAATGACTTTACAATTTAAATTAAATGTTTTAGTTTTTTTTGTATTTCTATATATGTCACTACGTTTGCATAGGTTAACTCCGGCCATGCTTGTCATTGGTTCCAACGCTGACCGTGAAAAACCGGAAAAACTCTGGACATTCTTTCGCGGTTTTTGGATTAGACTGGATTGTATTTATTGTCATCCATTTATTGGTAAGTCAATGTGCAATCTCCTCTGGCAAATACAAGTAAAACAATACTACTGTTACACTACTCACAAAATTGCAAAAAGAAATCCTCTACATCCAGTCTAGCCAAGTGTGGTACACATATCGATACCGTTACGTCGATAACTTTCCGTCTCTAGTATATTCATGAGAATCGACTTATTTTTATAGGCTTATTCTGTGTACGGATATGACATCAATGTGTGTTTTATCTGTGTATTTGTAAAAATAAGCTAGTGTTGTTGATTTGTGCTTGTGTGAGACCATAGTGACACGACTCAATATAGCATTTGAATGCACCTGTTTGTAATACTACCCCCGCCACTCAATAAGTGGCAAAAAGTTTTGTTCGCGAAACAACGCTAATAGCGTTTCCCGTATGCTCTAAGCCAGTAGCGAAAAAATCTCTCCAATTTAGAGAGAGAATTTGTCGATAAAATTATCGATATTGCCTTTGTTCAAGTTTTTTAATTTATCATTACGATGAAAGTATTATTATCATTATTATCATGAAATGTACCTTAATAGATTTTCTTTTCAGGTTCCGGCAAGATCCTTTTCGAAAAGAAAAATAGATTAAAGCTACCTACTGGACGATAAAATCGGATGCCGACAAAATTTAGTACGAATTGTTCAAAATATGGACGTAAAAATACAGTTGTGGTCATAGAATTAAGAACGATTAATGACACAAAACCATTATTATTTTGCAATAACCATTAAGTGTCGAATTAATTTAAAAATATGCTCTGATGATGTTAAACAATATTATCTGGATTGACCTTTTTTATTTAGCGTAATACCATTTAAACCATTTATTTACCACACACAGTAATACGTACAGAACATAATAATATAACAATATTGTGGGAACAACAACAGTGCGTGGAAGGAACAGGCTCAATATAATCCTTGTGGCTGTATGCCTCGCGGTACTGATTTTCAGCTTGACCTTGTTGACACATCGTTTTTCAACATAATCCAATTCAACTATACCATATCGCCACGATAAACATCGAATACTAATAATTATATCGGTTGAATAACATTTAATAGATTAATGTAAAAAAATAGTATGACTATGACTATGTATGACTAATTTATATGTAATAAACAATAATAATATTATTAAAAAATATACATATATAAACCACACAATATTCTCAGTTACACTTACGCTGGCTCGCTGTCTGCTCTGTCTCTAAACGAATAAGAAGAAGGAAAAAAACAGTTAACTTCTCATAAATTAAAATAACATTCTTCCTGTTTTGCTCATACGAAGTTGTCCCGTTACAAGAAGGAGTTACATTACTTTTAGTCGCTGTAATAATTTTTTTTTCGTGTGCGTCTTAACTAAGTGTTGGGAACTGCTATGACGGAGAGGTGGTGGTAAATCATTCCAAATTTTCGTCGCTGAGTACTTCAGACCACCCCTGTAGCCAGTCGTCCTATGTACGGCGTGGCTAAAAGGTTGGCTTGTCTTCGTCGAGTATTTATGCTATAAACATTCGTGACCCAGTCCAACTTGTCAAAGAGATATTTTGGCTTTCGGAGTGTAATTAGCTTGTGTACAAAACAAGTCAAATGGACTTGTCTTCGTGCTTCCATTTTTAATATATTTTCTCGATTTAAGTAGGAAGTAACGTGTACACGTCTTGGAATATTAAAGCGAAAACGAGCACAAGCATTTTATGGTACTCACTGTATGGCACGTTTCGTTTTCTCCAGGAGTCTCGGTCCATATCCCGCATCACAGTAATTGAAATGAAGACCAGCGATTCGACTAGTATCTGTCTAACTTTTTCTGATAGGTGAT